AAAGCTAAGCGCAGGGAAATCCCCAGAGTGCGACAGCAATCGCCCATCTGTGTTGAGCGAATGTGCAAGTGCCCTAAGTGGCCCACTCTGCAGTCTCTTCCAACGCTCCTTGGGAGAACGGAAACCCCCAAGAGAGTGGAAGCAGGCCATCCTCTCCCCTATCTTCAAAGGAGGAGAGAGGCAGAACCCAGACTGTTATAGACCTATAGAACTTCCGCCCGTAATATCAAAAATCATGGTAGATGACCGCATCAGGGAATTTCAGGACACCAAGAAAGCACTCAGTGACGCTCAACATGGCTTCCGAAAGGGCGGGTCCTGTGCCTCCAAACTCCCGATGGTGCACGCTCACTGGATAGCATCCTGGGATCGCAACGTCTGGTCCACGAGATTTTTCTGGATTCACAGAAGCCTTTGACACTGCCTCGCACACCATCTTAATACACAAAACAGCTGGGTTGGGTATCCGCGGCTGGGTGCTATCGTGGCTGCGGAATTACTTAGACAGTAGGAAGTTCTGCACAAAAATCAACAGGGTCCACTCAACTTGGGGAACGTTATCGTCTGGTGTCTCACAAGGAGTAATCCTGGGTCCATTGTTGTTCCTACTGTTCATGAATGACTTGCTGCATATCAGCTCTCCGATTCCCCTCTACACTGACGATATGAAGTTACGGAGGGCAGTAATTTTCGAAGTGGAATCAAGTGCTCTACAAAACGACCTCAAAATACCAGATAAGTGGGCAACAACTGACAAACTAGCGTTTAATCTGGATAAGTACCGGTCCACGTTTTTCCGAAATCCTGGTCCCCAGAAGGTATCTTACTCTCTCTGTGATTCATGTTTATCCCACACCACACGGTGACGGAGAAACTGAACACCAGTTCCAATTATCCAGGTGATGCCTCAAAAGCATATGGTGTACTACATTTTGTGCGTAGACGACTAAAGCCCTCACACCAGAGCTCTTTCTGAATCTCCACAAGACTTACGTACGACCCCACTTAGAGGTCCATAATGTTTTCGCCCCGCCACAGCTTAAAAGAGGCACAAACCTACCGGGGAAAGTTCAGAGGTGAGCCACAAAGGGGTTGTTGGGATACAACGAAAATTATATGAGGATGGGCTGAAAGACCTTGGCCTACACTCCCTTAGCTACCGAAGGTTACGAGGTGACTTGGCTTACAAAATACTGAATAACTCAAGTCACCCGGGCAGAGGATTACTACCGAGTGGCTACCGTGGTGATCCTTATGGAAACCCGAAGGGACTAGCCCACCAAAGATCAAAAACTCATTTGTGTTCACTCCTCTTCTCGCCTTGAGTCTGTGTGCAATGGGATGCACTACCAGCAGCGGTAGTCTCCACCTCATCTGTTGAAAGTTTGTAACTGGAATACGAACTATGCGGAAGAAATGTACTGCTGTCACGCCATTCCAACTACTTTACATCCACAACGGTTTTTCTTTCTATTGTAACCGTTTAAGCTTTCTTCAGCCCTTTAACTTAGCATGAGTTAGCCTCACCTAACTTAGCTCTTCATATCTTTGAACCCCTGTTCGACTAACTCGGGTATCAGCAGATTACTCCATCAGTTCGCTTTTCTTTTCCCTTTTACTCATACAAATTTTCCTTTCTAGATTTTCTTTTCATTATCCGTACTTCCCTCTAACGACCAGTCCGAACAACTGTCTGGCAACTCGACATCTGAAGAAGCCAACTACACCGCAGTCCAAGACGAACCAACCGACACTTCACCTCCTGTTCTGTATACCAGAGCTATAGCAGATGAGTGGCTGGATCTACTGCATCGGAATCCGCCAAAGATGTGGAGTCGTTCCGCAAGACCAAGGAGTGGGCAATAAGAAATCAACTGGTTTGCACAAGCTTGTGAAACAGATATTGGAAAATGGAGCATTGAATATTTTTGGTGCGAATCTTAAGGTGAGCGTTATAAAGTCGGTTTGCATAGTGGATTTTTCTTTACCATAAATATGTGTTACTCTCAATAGTATGTAGGTTTTTAGATAAACTGCTTGTTGCGTATTATTTATGGGCACATAAGAATAATGGTGTCATAGAAACGTCAGCTAGCATTCACTTCGGACACACTTTGTAACTTTCGGGTTTTACCCGAAGGTACCTCGGGCGCACTTAGGAACTTTTGGGTACTCCCCCTAAATTTTGCAAATATTTTACTTGGCCGCTAACATTTTATTGACTTCTATAACAAAAAGACATATAGCACATAAACGTCAACTAATCAGCTAAAAATAGAACGGATTATGCCTTCTCATCACTTGGGATATGGATTATTACAAATGTTTGGGTGCACTGCAGACACTTCGGGAACTTGGGCGCACTTCGGGACTTTTGACACTTTCGGGTAAAAGGTTTGTAACATTCGGGGAATTCGTGCGTCCCCCTAAATGCGCCCAAAGTAAAATTATAGGGTTTTTGCCCTAATGTTACAAAGTGCGCCCCAAGTAAATGCTAGCTGGGACCCGCAGCGTGCAAACAATGTATGCTCACCCGAAGTAAACTAAAGTGTGATCCTATCGTCTTCAGGAAATTTCAGATGCCTTAGGTGAATTTTCATGGTTTTTGAAAAAAACCTTGTAGACCAATTGTTTTTGCAGAAATTCAGCTTGCGGGTTTTAGGCTGATTTGTTTAAATTCTTGGTATTTTTACTACTTTGGATATCTAATCTCTTATATTGTCAAATAAACGTGCAGGAACTATGTGCTCCGGTGGTGTGCGAATCTGTGAGAAAAATTTTCAAAACTACATGCATCCATCACTTTTTTATGGCAGACAGGGAAGATAGAACTCCGCACAAAAGTATATCAGTTCTACTTGCCATACTTCAGGCTCTAAAATTCCTCTTAGAGGGAGTATACCTGCGCTACTTCGACCATTTTTTCAACCATGTCGCCAAAAGTCTTCAGCCGTTGGCATCTGGTGATTTTACAATCTAAAATCTCAGATGCAATACTCGCCAAACTGATTCCTATGTGGTTACCACAAGATGATTTTTCTGTTCTCTTGAAGACTGGAGCGATCAGTCATTGAGACCAACCAAAGCGGATTATACCAGATTCCTATATTCCAGGTAACACTTCTTTCAGTCTAGACAGTAATTCTCGACCACCTCTTGTAAATATATATGGTGCAAGTCTATCTTTCTCTTAGGTGGCTTACCGCCTTCTGAACTTCTGAGTGAGTTACAGATCCTATTTCGATTTTACATTTCAGCTGTTAAGTAAGATAATCTTAGGTGTAACCCATCAGGACCTTGTCACTTTTTGGGTTTGAGGTTGTTTAGCACCTGAAAGATTGTCTCTTGCCATATGCACTGGACTCATTTATATATAATGTATAAACGTCTACTGAAAGGACCTTACTAGTGTAGTTGAAAGATGATCTTTGACTGAATAAGTACCGCTAATATATCTGAACCCTTATCATCTAACATAAAAGATCGGACTCCAATTTCACGTTTATTTCTCCCTCTAATGTATGACATTTATGCATAAACTGCCTTCCACGTTAAATGAGACTTCGTAATGAGTATTTTGAACTTGTTCCTTATCTGGTAGTCTAATCTTAAACGTCTTATAACCTGCAGTAAACTATGGGATCTTGCCGTTCTTGAGTGACCACCAAATGACCTTGAACATATTACTAGAAAAGCGGCCATTTCCCTTTTTTAGTGAAAAAATTATATAACACAGAAAATAGAGCTTTTCCTAACAATAATTAGAAACTAATGTATATTTCTCGACTATTTTTTCTGCTTGAGGTAAAAGTACTGACAGTATGTAACTGTGTAGCCGGAAGAACTAACAATCACCAGATGCAGCTGCTGCTTCTATCTCATACGTACAACTGGACAACTTGAGTAGTTAGAAATCACGCAGGCTGTGTTGTAGTATTTCCCCAGCCAGATCAGAGTGATCCAAACACTGGACGGGCATTTTGTTTTGTGTTTAGGTCACTCTGATCTGGCTGACGAAATACTGCAGATCAGCCTGAATGAGCTCTAACTTCTCAAGTTGTTCATTAAAGGTAGTTTCTCCGCAGTTCTGCCGAAATGCAAATTGTTACTCCAAGGTGCCTTGTTTAACAGTAGGGAGTAAATTGGTTAGGCGCGTTGACCACTTCACTTTCTTAAGAAGTCAGATCGGTTTTGTTGGGTTATTGACCGACAAAATCTCCACGGATACAAAAGGTTCGATTATGCAAGTCTAGTCGCCATCTGCTCCGTCGCACAATATTAAATTAAGTAGGTCCACGGGAAAAAAGATTGAGTGGCTCGACTAAAACATGGCATCAATACACGAAATCGTTGACTGTTGGTTTGAACTGAGTAGGGGAATGTAGACTGCGTGGTTTTGGTCGGCGTAAATGGAGAAACTAGTGATTGGAGACTGTAGCTGATGGAATGTTTCAGAATCGATGTCAGTCACTCAGATAGATCCACGCGTTATGCACATCCTATTCATCATACCAAATTTAATTGTTGCTTCATTGTTGGTCGTTGTCGTTTCACAGCTTTCTACCAATAATGAATATTTTCTGCTTTATTTCTTTATCTTTCACCTTGTTGCTTTCTACCTTGATGTGCTAATATATGATGTGGTAACGTAGACCGTCACGTGTTGATGCCGTGCTGATGCTGAATGACATTTGGTATTTTTTGTGCTCTTATATAATGCAAATTAAACTGAACAACTGCCAACAGTCGTCTGCTAAATAATGAGCCACACTTGTTATGTGGAGCTCTGTGATACTGTCTGAATGACAACCTCTGCATGTAAAGATGGCTTAGATCGCATATAGTATGCTGTTTCTGATTTTCATTCAGTTTAGTCCTCTGATACATCTTTTATTTTCCAGTCGCGTCACAACTGAGATTTTTCTACGAAGGGTTATACAAAATTTCTTAATCTCATTTGTAGTTTTTGTAGTAAAATTCTGCTGCATACCTTATTCTTCATGCGACAAATCATTTTTTGCGTGTTGCTCGGAGTTTTACATTTTGGCGCATCGTATGGCTACGTTATTGAAGGTACTGTTGTTGTACCACCTGAAGCCCCCCAGACTGGCATATCAATACAAGAATTAATGTGGCTGGTGACCAGTTTGTTGGTTTTGTAAAGGCAGACGGTAGTTTTGCAGTGACTAATGTCCCCTCTGGTTCGTATATTATTGAAGCCATCAATCCAGTTTATTATTTCCAGGTGAATGTTTTGTATTTGATCAATATGTATATATTTGGTTTGATTAGAAATGAATGACTGGAATATGTTTAGTATTTAACCTGTATCCTAACACAACTGTCTGGATGTCACTTGTACATTCGTATATAAAAAGTATAGGTTTTGGTTTATCAGACTAGATGTAGACCTCTTTTAATCCTATTAGTTGCACATCTGTTTAACTTTTAGATTATGAATTTGCTTGTTTTTTCAGAGTAACCATGATCAATGTAGCTTGTTGTAAAGCGATCTTATCTCATACTTGTGTTTACGGAAAGGTGATTATCCATCATTTAAGGGCATTACATATATGAGATATTGCTCATTGGCTTAGGAACACGACTTCCAAGCCAGCAGTCCTTAGTTCCACTCCCGCTCCACCTGCTTCAGCCCGAGCGATCACTTGACTTCCAAGTAATGAGTCTTCGATTCAAATTCTTCTCCATCTCCATTATTCTGGACAACAGCAGCTGCTGTACGACAGTCGATTAGTTTGGTAGGTAATCACAAAATAAGTGCAAAAGTATATATGGCTTGGCGACTGTCATATAAATCTTGCCTATCATAAGGTCAGGTTATAAGGCATTTTGGAAATAAAACATCTTAGAACAAATTGACTGTTTAACTTCACTAAATTCAATCATGTTTCTTATTGACTTAACTGTCTTACATCGGTGGGAAGGAATAGTTCAAAACACTTTATTGGCTTGTGTCTATGAATATTATAACCCAACCAATGAGCACTTAACTCCTGTATAACTTCATCTGGTAGATTTTTTATTCCCTACCGTTTGCATTATTGACTGATCTGAACTGGTATGCATTTGGTGCAGTCGGAGTACAATCATTGGCATTTATAGCGAAAAACTTATGTGTCCCATATCTTCCCGTTTCCTAGAGGATCGAATCTCCTTATCCTAATGCAACTCAACCCTGTTACAGGTGTTTATGCAGTAAGTTATATAGTCACACTTTGTGTATAGGGGATTATAATAGTACTCAGCTGCACAGATAAAAGAAGGTGGAGTAGTATTTGAATCCGGTCCTCAAAGCCAAGTAGATGACACTGGATGATAATATATCTTCATTAGGTATCAAATTGGTTTCTCTTCTCACAGTTTTGCCATTAGTTTAAATGTATATTTAAATACAATTACTTGATTATGTAGTTGTAGTGAGTAAGCTTCTAAATCTATGCACCAAGAACATCCAGTTTCCGTCCAACGGACAGTTATTTCACCTGACTGATGGAGTCGCAATGGGAAGCCCTCTGGGTCCCCCTTTTGCTGCTCTGTTTTTATCAAGTCTGGAAAATAGTAGCTTAAAGAGTTTCATTCGTCAGACAAAAACTGTACCAGCACTACATGGATGACATATTCATTTTATACGTAATAGCGAAGCGGAGGCAGAAGCACTACTAAAAAGCTTCAATTCATGTCACTCAATTTGTTCTGACAGCACATTAGACTACGAAATAGTGACTTTGAAAAACGTGTTAGTGAAGAATGGGTACCCAGAAAGTTTTATCAACGAGCACACAAAATGGGTAGGTAGCAGAACAACGTCCCCAGCAGTCTAGAAGAAACCAGTCTATATCACTTGGCATTCAAAGGTGACGACGTGCTAGAAGTAGTTAGGCGAAGACTAGAGAAGTCTGTCAGAAGTACTTACTACGCTGCTAAACTCGTTTTCCTCAGCACCACCAAAATGGTACTTCAGCAATCCTGGAAAGATAGGGCTCCGATCCTCGACACATCTGAATTCATGTATTAATTCGAATGTACCTCCGGAAGCAAATACATTGGTCGTATGGAGAGGCGTCTGTCTACCCGAATGGTTGAAGCATGCCGAGACGAAGACCCGAGGAGCTCGTTAACGAAACACCTAATGGACTATGGACATGTTATTGATACTTGTAAGTCCTTTACGGTTATTAGTAGACAGTAAAATAAGAAGTTGCTTGGATATGCAGAAGCTTGCACGATTCTAGTTGTCAAACCAAACCTCTGTATTCAGAAGGAAATGGTATTCAGCTTGAATTTGTCATGGTAGGAATTACAACATTGTCTAAACATTACTATTTATTGACATACTTGTAATTCTTCGTTGTTTCATTGGATCGGATTGTTCGGCCTCTATTCGTATATGCGCTCCTATGGGAGGATTCCTCAATATTGCCTGAAACCCGCGTCCTGGCAGCCAACTAAATCATCTTAATTGTTTGATCATATTTAATCTTTTTTGCTCTTCGCTCTTAATTATCACCCATGTGATATTTTGTTTTCCTTCCCTGATTTGTTTTGCCTAATTAACCTTATTCCTATTACCATTGTTATTATTATTCATCTCAATATAAACCTGGATTTCTTATTATGTCTGCATAAATACTGTTAACTATCTTGTCTTCAATGACGTGATCGACGCTCGATCGATTCAGTTCTCACCCTTGTGTCAACACTGTTATTGTTAACATGATTATTTTCCTACCTGAAATCCACTATTATCCAAACTCAATTAACCTATCCCTAACCCATTCAATTTCGAATATCCATTTCTACCCTTTGTATTACCATTTGACCCGTTAAAAAACTGTTCACTTCTATGTTGTCACACCTAAATCTGTCTCAGTCTACGTTATATATTTATGTGTATATATTCTTTCCTGTTGTTTGACGGTATATATAATCAAGTATGTAGAGTATCCAGCTGACGAGTGCTACTGAAATATATGAATTCATTAAATCTGAACACTTTCATGAAGTGTGGGTTCATAATTGCTGGTACTTCCATGTAACTAACTCCAGACAGATCTGTATGGTTAGTATAAATCTTCATAATGTATGTTGCATCATATCCGTTGATATATCACATGATGTATGTTGGTATTATGAAACCCTGTTGGTCACTCTAAAGCGGCCTTACAGTTTGCTGTGTGTAAATCGATGCTAACATGAGTGAAATTACTACAACTTTTTTCTGATGAGCAGATGAGTTATTTAACACTGTCTAATTTGACTGTAAATAATATGTCGTCATGATTCATAATGTAAGATCATGAGGGTAAAGTCAAGATCAAAAACAGTATCCATTTGACAAACTGGTTCAATGCAGACGTTTGATTGGCTTCAGAACTTTGCTTGAATTTACTAAGCTGCTGCACATCATACTTCTTCTCTTCAGGGTGTTCGTGTTGACATAAGCTCTAAAGGCCGAATTCGAGCACGTCAACTTATTGCTCCACAACCGAATGCTGTGAAAGAAATCCCTTATCCATTACATCTTTCCAGTGCTGGAAAAGCAGTTTACTTTAAGGTTTGTAATTCAACAAATATTTTACTTTTTTTTTTATATGTTTAACAATCGTTTAATTCTGAAAACTAGCAATTATAATGTTGCTATTATTGTTACTAGTTGATGATTGGAGGTGAAACGAAAATCTGGGCCGCTGCAGGTTTCGAACTAGTGACCTGTGAGTCGCCTGTCCGGTGCTCTATCAACTGAGCTACAAGACCTGGTTTATTGCCTACTGCCATGTAAATTTGTGGTGCATTATTATCTCTTGATCGTGTTCACACTGGCTACCCAGCCAGGACTGGTCATCCCAATCCAAATCTACTTGAACTAGAAAGAGGGGAGCATCACATTAATTATCAATTAGACTATCTGAGATAGCTGTGGTTTGGCAGACTTATTGATACTGGGTGATGATTGAAGGTAAAATTCAGATCTCGTAGCTCAATTGGCAGAGCTCTTATTCGAATCCTGTCACCTCCCAGATTTTCGTTTTGCTGTTAATTTTTATAATGTCCTGATTTAATATTGATGATTCGTTGAAAAATCAACATGTAGTTCCTGAATGACATTGTTTCAACACATTCTGGTGACCAACAGAATTATACATCTGGTAGTTTGATTGACTTCTCAAAAATCTGCACCATCGCATTTCAACAACTGTCATTTTCAATAGTTAGCAGTAAAATCCCTGTCATTGGTATCTTGTAACGCTGAGATAACCACCAAAATGAATATTGAGAATGCTTATAGCTCAAATGGATGATTGTTACACTGTTGCGTTGTCTGAGCTCAATGGTTTGATCGTGAAGCTTTCTAAACAACATCATCGGCACCAACTTTAATATGAAGCGTGAGCTATCAGCATTTCTCTGTGCGTGATTCTCTAAACTGTTCTGATGGAGTAGTGTGGGATTTCGTGAAAATGATTAAGTTTCAATAGCGAGTTGCGTAGCACGACAAAATATTTAATGAATGCATTGTTACCACGGTCAGCATGACAACAAGGAATAGTTGATAATGTGAAAGAAATTCAAAGAGTGAGAGTAAAAAGGAGGAATGTTTTGAAACTCTAGAGCTTAAGACCATGAAAGAAGGAAACGTTGAACAAGCTTTTTATGTGTGTAAAGCTTCAGCTACACAAAGGAGACGAAAACATACGGAATTTGGCAGGTTTCTATTCACTTCATAAGTAAACTTTAAAGAGGAGGGTGCTGTTGAGGTTGAATAACCGGTGTCCGCAAGTGTTCCACTATCGTGTTTCTTACAGATTCGATAATATACATCCTTTTAGTCACTCAGGATAGTGTTCTTGAACCCTTTTTGAACAGGAATTGTATCAAGCAACCGATATATCCAGTCCCACAGGAGCAGGTAAACTAGTACAAACAAATAAAGGTAACCAGCTATGAGATCTTGTCCTTCAAGTTATTGCGAAGTATAGGAAACCAGAAAACCCTACTCTGAAAATTGCTACGATAAATACTATGTTAAGGTAGGGAATTTTTCGATGTTTTGCACTTCAGTGGTTAATTTTATCGTCGGTCACAACGGTAAAGATGTATGCACTCTTTGCTATCTTCAGTATTGAATATTTCCATTGACGTTCATGTGTTTATTCCTTCTTTTCTTTTACACTTGTCTACTTTTATGTCATTCTTTTACTGTCCACTTCTTTTTATATACTGCTACAAAGTGCAACAATTTGAACCGATTACACTTTTGTGCCACGTTCTAGGTTGATTTGTCCATTCATTTTTTTGTGATTTTGTGATAGAGTGAGCTTAGTTTAGTAACTGCTAAAATTCACATTTCCAACAATGCCACCTCTAATCTATCGTTATTTATGAGGTATTTTCATCGAGCATAAAAATGCATTGAAGATAGAATGTACAAAGCTGTAGAAAATCCTCTCATTCCCGAAGGATAAGGATTTACATATATCGTGTAAAACTGCGTGCACTGAAACGTTTTACATTCAACTTTTCAAAGGTCAAACTGACTTTCTGAAGGTGTTGAAAGTAATCCAGATTAGCGTATGTTGTATAAGAGGAGCTTTGACGCATTGTTTCAGGCACTCAGATTTCAACCACTAGGTCATGGCTTCGAATCCGGCTACACTTGCGGAGTTTTTGACAGGTAGTTGGTATCGTTAACTGTCACACATAGGTATAACTCATTTCCTATTGTATAAATGTATGCATGGCTGTCATGTGCATTTCTTTTTTTCAACGCTGTACAGTAGGAAGTTTCATCTGTTGTGCCAGTATTTATACAGTTACCTAGATATAAGTTTTTGAACTATTTTCAACACCTCACTACGAAGAATGAGTTTGATATACAGCCTCCTGTTAATCTTTAAGAAGTACTTTTAGGGCTTAAAGTGTACCTCTAACTTTAAAATACTGTTTGTTAGCTAATTAAATGCAGGGAAAGTGTGTTGTCCGCAAACTTAACGTTGAATATTTCTAAGGGTAACAAAGCAATACTAACGTGCATATCTTTGAAATCAGGTGATGTTGTGTAACCTGAATGTTAGTTTTGGTTACCAGCAGATTTCAAGATGTTAATGAAATTCTGTGGTGAGTTATCAGGTGAGTTGTATACGTCGAGTAGTGTCCGTTAAGGATTTCCATTGTTTCCATTCTTATTCAACTATATCACAGACGTAGTTAGGGAGGTCTATCTCTCGTCGTCACAAGAGAATTTTTTGTAGATCTAGAGTAGGCAGATAACATAGTTGTGTTAGATGAAGACATTGACAAGATGCAGAGTTTTTTGACCACACTGTGTGGCAATTTAAGATTGTTTGGAATGCGCCACCGAAATGGAAATTGTAGCTCCAGGATTGGTCTTCTTTGGTGCCCTGTCTAAACTAGGGAGCGGAATGGTTGATTGTGTTTACCACTTCATTTGGGAAGTTGTATCAGCTTTGGTGGGTCAGTGACTCATGGACACAAAACGTCAGCTTAGCGTTTGCCAACTTACGCGGTTTGTGTCACCAGCACTATATCTAATTGCTTAACAAGTATTGTGTCAACTGCACTGTCGTTCTGTTCTGCTATGTGGTTGTGAAATATGACCATTAAAGGTAGTAGAAGACATGAAAAGGCTTCAGGTGTCCGACCACCATTACCTTCATAGCATAATTTTTGTGCCATAGTGCAGAAGTCAGATGTTGAGTTTTGGGAAGAAGAGATCAATCAGTTGATGGATAGAATTTCTGGGGTGTGTTGTGCATGTCTAGTCATCTTTTACTCTTTCACACAGTATTAGCTGAAGTAGGTTTAAACTGGAAGGATGTTAAAGGCTGCTAGATTGAAACACGGCATCAGTTCACGGAGTCCATGTTTATTGGTTTAAATCGTACGTAGGAAGTGTAGACCTGTTGACTGGGGTCTGGATAAAACTGGAATTGGTGGCTGAAGACTAGAATATTTTGGATGCTTATTTGATTGGGACATACTTTTTTCACATCAGTTCTTATGAATACAATCTTCGTAATTTGCAACTTATTACTACTATTTTTGTTTTTCCCTTTCTTTTTGTTGCCTACACCTTAAAGGCTCGTGAACAACTGCGCACTTTAGATTTGTTATTCAATCCAAATGTTCTCTATGTTCTAGTCCCATTGATATTGGTTGTGGTACTCACAAAGTTGGTGAATACAAGTGACCCTGAATTACAAAAAGAAATGCAGCAAATGAATATATTAAATCCGCAACAACAAATGCCCGATATGAGTGAAGTAAGGATCTTTCTATAAAGATTTAATATGTATATTTTTCATATGGTTATGTTGATTTCCTAGTGATGGTTAACAGTTGAAGGTGTGTGACATTATCTTATATTCTGTTTTAGAGCTGTAACTTATTGGTATAAGCAGTTGAATTATAACCTGTGGGTCACAGTTTCGAACCTCTCCACTCATCGACGTTTGGACAGTCGAGTAGTGTCATTGGCACCTCACACCCTTTGGGTGTAGAGCACGTGACTGCTAAGGAAAAGAGTATAGTGCGGTTTTATTTAAGATGTACATGCATACAAGTTAGTTTTTTTGGACTCAAACTCTCACTGTACACTCATTGTTTCTTTTCTAAAATCCGCATATTTTAAGCAGCAAATACAGTTGAGTAGATCAAAAAGTGTCCAATCTTTTTGTGTAAAAAGGTACAATCGACTCTCATGCCTTGATATTTGTTTTTTCGCAAATGAATATTGCACTTTATTGACATGGGCTAAGACAAGGAGAATACGTCTCTATCGCTTCATATGACCTGTGAAGTAAACTAGGTCGGGTGGGAGGACAAATACTCGCCGATGACATTGAGCGATCTTCACTGTGTCACAACTTGGCAGAAATAGGAAAATGTTGGTCATTGGATTCCAATCTGTGTGGCTGCATGGTATCTTCCTCGCCTTGAGACCTGAAGGTCTTGGGTTCATCCCCTGGCGAGTCTGTGCGTGCCCACTGCCGAGGAATCCCATAGTTAGACGAAATTGCTGTCCAGTGCTCCTTGATTTGAAGTGGTTCTTTAACCGGTGTCAGTCCATGAAGGATGCTGCATTCGTTTCATTATATTGATCCTATGTATGTGTATGCACGTGGGGTGGGTAATGGAGCAATTGGTGATGTAATGGAAGAGTAGTCGTTAAATGGGGTACGCCTTGACCTAAAACCGTCATTTGCAAAATGTGCTTCATTTCCTCTGCTGCTTCTCTCTTGATTTACTCTTCATACGCCTGCGTTGTCTCTTGAGTTTCTCTTGGCAGAATCCTTACCCATTGCTGGTAATCTATGATTTCTGCCACCCTCTCAACACATACTACTTACATCCATTCTTATCACCAATGCCCACTACACTATGATGAACATAATGTCTAGAAGGGTTCCTTAGTGATACAGTTTTTGTGGGATAATTGTGCTTCGTAACGCTGTTCACAATAAATATTTTACTTTAACTTGGAAGATCTACGATTATCTACTAACTACTATTTGATTAGAAAATATACTCAATTAACAATCCAGTATTTTTCCTTCTTGCAATTTGTTCTATCTTCCTCTTTGTTTATTTCAACGTCATTCTGTTTATCTCTGGGTGGGCCTGTGAAATGTGTTAACTTGAACTGCTTCAATTTTGTAAGAGCTTATATCTACGTTGATCTCTTTGTCTGCAGTGATGTGACCTGTATTCCTAGTCGCATATGCAAAAATCAGGGTGTCTGACTTCTAAAAGGGCCGTGTGTGACCGGCCTCCAGCAGCTGACCCTTGCGCTCTGCGGTCACGCACCAACCCTTCTTTCTCAGATACATCAAGAAGAACTAGTCTTCCACAATGTGGGGGCCGGGAAGTGTCACTCGCCCTCTTAACTCTGTCAGCACTTAGATCCCCTCAGATCACTGTCTGCCTTCCACATCCTAACCTTCTTTAACGTCTTCCAGTTAGTTATCCAATACCATCTTTAACTTTTCCCAGCTCTACGGCTCCCGACAACAATACGAGTTCACACAAAGGCGCTGTTGGTCTCCTTAAGCCGTCTTCCAAACTTCAAATTAGGGCTTTCGATTTCTGCACCCTCCTTGTAGTCTACCAACAAGCTTCACTGATCAAAACTCTAACATGCTTGGCCATAAGTGTGTTGTGTTTGTGAGACACACATACAATACCTAAGTGTGGTAATTTACTTAACCTCACCCAACCAATACGGGTAATCTGAAAACGTCATCCTTCGAGTTTCTGGAGATTCGTAGCCGGGTTTTTGCGGTCGTGAAAGTGTCGGTGCAACATTAAGTGCTAAGACAGACAGCACACTTCTCAACTGGATCCAAGTTCACAATCGCGTGTGCGCTCTCTCAACGAATTTCACATTGACGACCTAGAAGAATAGTGAAACTGGCCGTTCTCTTTGTATGCTCTGCCGACATACTCACTGACTGCAGTTCGGATGAAGCGAAGGATGAGTTCTACTGAAAACTGTCTAGCCTCCTACTGAAGGCCAACTGTTAAGAGGTGGCTGTTGTTGCAGATGATTTCAATGTACAAGTGGGTGAGCCAAGTCAGTCAGAAAGGCATATAGTTGAGTCGTACTTTCGGAATGCCAGCCGAATGAAGAGATAACGGCTGTGGCCTGCTACAACTGCGGTAAGATAACCACTTATTTTTTGTCACCACAAACTTTAGACATAAAGAGCGACATTGATTGACGTGACGTCGAACCACCTAACTCATTGGTGGACGCAGATAGACCATATTGCTATCAGTCGTCTCCGGAGATGGCTGTTGGAAGACTACTGTTGTTTGTGGAGCACGTGCTTGGATAGCGACTACAGCTTGGTTTGAACACATGTATGTCTGTGCCTCAATGGTTGTAGAAAAGCTCTAGCCACATGACCATTACTAGTGCAGCTCGACAATGAGAACAATACGGTTGTTATCATCAGTGAGAAACCAGTTAGATAATTGTGGGGACAGAAGAAGCCTGATGACATCTGCAGTCTTTTGTCAAAACATAGTTGGAGATGGTAGATGACTGACGGAAGGACGTTGGAAAGAAGCAGTGGATGTCGGGATCTTCTAAATGAATGGATGGTCGTGAAGAGATTCCCAGAGGCTGTAAGCGCAATGATGAGCGGAAGCGACTAAAAGGTGAACTGAAAAGAAGTCTAGTTAATGACCGTGAACAGTGGTGGTTAGCGAAGATTAAAGAGATGGAAAATACAGGGCGATACTTAGTAGTAGACACTTGTTGAGACTAATTAAGGGAACGGGGACGAAAATGTCAGTGGTTAGTGAGACGATAATAGAGAAGGATAAGTCTGTGATTCACTTGCAGCAGGACCGACCAGAACGATGGGCAGAAGTCTTTAACGGGCAGTTTAACTGGCTTACTATGCGCTAGCAATCGGAAGCTAAATTGAACATTGAAATAACACTCCCAGTACTTATAGAAGTCGAGAAAGTTGTAGTTATGGGGAAACGGGAAAGGACAGCGATGCCAGATCGCCTAGAACCGTAAGTATTTAGGGACAGTGGTTAAGGTTTAGTGGTCGGATTAACTGTAGTTTTACCTAGTGCATGGGGTTCATATGATCCCCTCTGACTGTTCTCTGTCATGGGTTGTCCCAGTCTTCATGAAAAGAGATGAGTCTTGTGGTAACCATAGGAGAATCAGTCTAATGAACATAGTATCTCAGATTCTAGTTCCTATGATCATCGGGTGTCTGAGTGGAGAACAAGTTGCACGAGAAAACTGAACAGATTTCAGACGTAGTCGTGGGTGTATCGACCAGATATCCACCCTGCACTGGTTTCTGAAACACACACGTACACCCGACACTGATTGTATTACTTGACTTGCAGGCGGTATGCGTCTCTATCGATCGAAAGGTCTTATGGCAGCATTTCTTACTGAAAGTATTGCCGAGTGAGTACGTCACTCTTGTGAAGACTCGGCACCCGAACCCCCATATGCGTGTTGGAGGTTTTGATGAGTTATGTACCTCGAGCAATGTTTTTCAAAGATATCCGCTCCCTTCATTCTCATTCAATTCTGTCATAGACTTCTCGTCGTTTGGATTCATATGGATTGGTCTTATCACAGGAGAATCTTTGGTAAATCTACTATACGCAGGTAAAGAGGCTGACAATGCAGTCTTCCGGACACAATTAGTGTCAATTTGAGGATGTTTAGGATGATTTCGTGTCAATAAAACGCAAGTTGTTGCGCTAGGACTGATCTTCGTTGGTGTTCTGTCTAATAATAAGCAGTGAAGTAGTTGAGCACCTTGATCACTCAACTGGGGAGTCGGATGAGCCGTGGCGCGTCAGTGGCCGGTGAAATCTTTCCACGGATAGAATAGTCTTGATTAGCTTTCACCATTCTGCGCCACTTAAGGCACCGCTGTGATGATACCGGATTGTCTATTGAAAGTCGAGTGAACTGAACTGCAGTTTTCTCTGTTCCTCTATATGTGTGATACTCGGCCATGGAAGGTAGGGGATACTAGAAGGCTTCAGGTGTTCAAATAGCGTTTCTTTCGTACCATTTTCCATATATCTTGGTATTTTAAGCCTTCATACAATGGTTGTGGGTCATTGCCGATCGCACAAATGTGTACAAGGTTGCTTACTACATTTTGATTCGGTTCGAACCCTGATCACCGAGGTGACTGGGACATGTGTTTCGCATACCTAGTCCCCGTCTACCCCGTCACACGATGTAAACTGAAGTAAGTTGGGGATGGAAGAAGGTTAGGGGCGGCCGGCCTAAGACATGGCGTCAGTACGTGAATTCCTTGACTATTGGCCTGAACCGAGTCAGGGAATGTAAACCGTGTGATTTTGGTGTGCGTGACAATAGAAACCAGAGATTGGATACTGTAAGTGATAGAATGGTTCAGAATCGATGTCAGTCGCTCAGATGTTTCCACACGTTATGCTCATCTTGAGTGTCATATTGAATTCAGTATCTTCGTACTCCTCGTTGTGTTATGACGACTTTCTACTACTTTTGACTGCTTTCTTTATTTCTATACCTTTCGTCTTGGTGCTTTCTCTCTTAGTATGACTCGGTGGCCTAGTATTTAACACTCTGACGTTTAAAACGCCCGCCCCTGAGTCCCAGTCTTATTGCGAATAGAACCACTCACTGACGAGTCCTATGTAGGATGGAATGTACGTCCTGGACTCCACTGATAGCGACTGTCCATCATTTCTTTGATTGCATTTGAACATAATCAGAACAATAGGGTTTGCAAAGTAGAGCAGTATCATTCTATTTTTTTTGAAACACTTTTATATTATTCTGTCATTTTGTGAATATTGATCTTTTTTACTGCGGTCAGTTTCATTTCATTTAACATATGACTACTGTCGAGCAGTATAGGAATTTCATTCATGCAGGCGTACACACATGATAACGGAAGTCGATGGTTGGAAAATCTAGGTGATATCGTCTAGAGTCGACCGCAGTGTCACAGATGCATTCCGACTCCTTGTCACCATCCTAACCACCATATCACATTTAGTTATTAGAAATGCCACCACGTTTTCTCTCCGCTTGAATTTCTACGACTTTTGATCACATGTTTTCTATTTTCCGTCTTGTTTTGTATCTTCATGTACTGTTATGAGAAATGGTAAACTTGGACCGTTGTGAAATGTTGTAAGATCTCATGTTAATATTGACTATCTGACCGATAAATTCATCATCATCTCCTTAAATCTTGGAGAGACTTTGTTGCTTGTCACAAAGCCGTGAAGACCGTTAGTATCCAGACAGAGAAAATCGACGTAGAACTTCGCACACAAGTGCATCGGTTCAAGTTTCACACTTCACAATAGTATACCAAGATTAGGTGCATAGAAAAGTTCTGAAATCAAAGTAGACAATGTTGTGTGAGAGAAAATAGGCAGTTTGAAGGTAAAGCTTAGCATAAATATTCAGGCTTTAGAAGACATCGACGAGTGAGTACATCTGCGACCGTCAGTATCCATAGTGGTGATTTCAAACTCTTGAAAAATTCCGAAAATAGTTTCAAAGTTGTAAGTTTATACTGTCAGATCTTACCTTTTGATTTTCAATCATATAAATGAACCACTGGAATTGATGATGTAATCAATGTATAAAAGTTACTATACTACTAAATAAATACATGACCTGAATGGTGTCTTGTGTTCAAATATCAGCTGCATATCATCTCATGAATTCTGTCATTTACAGGGTATACAACATTAAAAGACAAATGATTTATCTCCATTGTCAAAAACATATTTTCATCTCATGAGCTACTGGAAACTTGTCGAGTGTTATAAACTTTCAAGTTGAGTAGACATGTAATCAACAACCTTGTGCACATTTGCGCAGTAGGCAATGAGCCACGCCCATTGTGTGATGGACAGTGATACTACCTGACTTCCCAAACCTTGATGAGTGGAGCGTTGTCTGAATCTGTGACTCATTGATTGAAAGGTGACATCTTACACTTTACACCAAGTTTTCGGTTTTTGAATAAAGTCTTCTGTACCTACTGCAATCTTTATGATGTTCATCGTTAACGAATATTCCAATTACTTTATACCATTTTTTCTCTAAATGATTTTATTTGAAACAAATTACAGTATTATTTGAAGTGTGTCTATGATTGTTTTAATATACTGGTTTTTCCGTTTAGTTTCTCTCGTCATTATCTTTGTTCGGTGGTGGTGGAGGTAGTGGTGGCGGTGTTGCAGGCGGAGGAAATAAGAAAACACCAACTAACAGACGAAAACTTGGGAAAAAAGTCGTCAGAATAATAGTATTAGTACTTCTACAGCCATTTCAGAGGGTTCAAGTTATCACTCCATCACTACCTCTGCTACTGGCAGTAATACCTCAAGTTCTCCTGCTTCCACATCTAAGCGAACCTCAGCAAAGACAAGAAAGTCGGAGTTAACAACCTAAGCTGTTGATATTTTGAAGTACACACATATATACACATATTGTTTATTTCTGATGTGATCTATGTGATTTCTTCTTACTCAGTCACACGAATGAAACAGTTTTATTTCCAATTCTTTACTGTTTGTATAAAACAGAACAAAAATTATTTATGTGATTGCCATTCCTTACTGTCTTTGTATGAAATTATGCCGGTCAAATAGTATGTATTCTGTTTGTATATTGTGCGTGTATATATATATATATATATATATATATATATAATTAATCTTATTGCGTAATTTATATACACTATGTACTATTGTTTAGATAAATAGAGATGTCTGTCCTTTCGATTTTATCTGTATACATTTGGTTGGATGTGTTGTTACTCATCAGTACGAACAAAGAAACGTACAGTCAATGATCAAAATACTGACCATTTCTGATGATGAGAATACACCAACTTCTCTCATCCAGCGGTCAAGCGTACAACACAATACTGTATGTACTGTGTTGTGCTATGCAAGTGTAAACACATCCAGTGGAGTAATGGAGTAACAATTACGCAGTCCACTTGGCGACTTCGTGCAGGAGGCAATAGGCCACATTTGATTTATGAGAGTTAACGATACTAGATGTGTGGGTTGAACGTCGAATGCCGTAAATCCATCATAGCATATAGTATTGAGTCAGAAATATGTCTACCTTTAAATTCGTCATATCAGGCGATAAGGCTACTGCGAACATACACCCAGATGGATAGCTGCTAACTTGACGTAGTGGTCAAACTTATATGTCGAAATGACCCGACGAATTATGCTGAGAGAACGCTTGTCCTATCGAAGACCTATCATGCCAGAAGGGTCTGTTGGATGGTGGTAAAATGGAAAGCAGTCACTGTTGTAGTAATTCAATGACTAGTTCTCGCGGTCATGAAAGTGTCGGTGCAGCACTAAGTGCTGGTTCCTATGATCATCGGGTGTCTGAGTGGAGCTGGAGAACAGGTTACATGAGAAAACTGAACAGATTTCAGACCTAGTCGCGGGTTTATTGTCTAGATATTCTCATATGTCGCGTTTTGGAGTACAAGGACAGTTATCGATGTCCGATGCTTGCTGCCATTTTCGACCTGATGGCGGTATATCACTTCCTCGGTGAAGAGGTCTTACGGTAGTATTGCTCACTTAATGAAGGGAGGCAGGCGTGGAAGTGCATTACGGTGTACTCGAATACCCGTAGGCTTGTTAGAGCCTATGGTGACTTGTCACGTGAGCTGCTTACATCTAGTGGTATCCTTCACAGACGCTCACCCTTCCTATCATTGATCAGTTATTTCACTGACATTCTTATGGAGATCCCTTTCGTTATCTGATATCCCAGAGTCGATCTAATAACAGAAGAATTCTTGGTGGCTACAGAGCAGGCAGATTATGTAGTCCTTTTATGTGAAGACGCAGAGTCTTGTCGACACCCTTAGTGTCAATTTGAGATACGTTTCTTATTACTTAAATGCAGATGTTGCTCCAGGTCTAGTCATCAGTGTTGCCTCGTCTAACAATGAATAGTAAAGTGGTTGAGTGCGTTGACCGCTTCACTCAACTAGGAAGTCGTACGAGCCGCCGAAATCTGCACGCAAACAAAAGTTTCGATTAGATTTTACCATCTATGGCACTGCCCTGATATCCAATTACCTATTGAGGGTTGAATATCATGTGCTGAAGTTCTTTCCTTTCTACTCTATGGCTCTGAAAGACGGTCAATGAAGATAGAAGATATGAGGACGCTCCTGCTGTTTGACCACCAGTTGTTAAGGCCGTGAACCTTGGTCGGCTCAGACGGCTGGGACATGTGATACTCGTGCCTGTCACTGTCTACCTCGTCGCGGAACGTTGGTTAAAGCATGCTCAGGCTGAGAAACGCTCGGGGTGGCCAGACTAAGAGATAGCAACATTGCATAAAGACTTGGACTGCTGATTTAAAGCTATATTGGTAGGTGCAGACTAGCCGTCAGGATCTACGTGACAAGAGAAAACAGTTGTTGCAGACTTGGTGATATTGTCGAGGATCTGTGTAAGTGGCACAGATATACCTAACTTTCATCTTAATCGCAATGCTGAATTCAGCATTATCTCCTTCCTCTCTCTTACTATTTTCCACTGTCTTGGTCGATTTTTATTTCTTTCTTCATCTTACTGCTTTGTTACTTGTGCAGATACAAGGTGTGTCAAGTTAGACTGTTACGAAGTAGTCCCTAGTCTTATGTTGAAATTTACTGATTAATTGAATAGACAATTCATCTCACGATCAATCGTGAGATATTCAGGATTTTCTCAAGTTTGCCGCTTTTAAGCTCTATATAAGCATTGGTCGAATACAGATCTTGTGGGACTTTGACAGATGGATTTCCACATAACAGTTGATATTTGAGTCAATTTACTAGTAATTGTTCCCAGCTGCAACTTAATTTTGTATAAAATCAAATTAAGTGGGTCGATATTAATGTCACAATCAGACTGCTGCTGGATTGTGAGCAATCGAAGCATGACTAAATACCAATTGAGTTGAGACTCAAGGTATTCTCTTGTCATCCCAACCGCGTACCCTGCTTTTTTGGCAGTGACTCATAATTATCAGTTTGTCCAAATTAAGCAAAACTGTTTTGAATTAGTTTCTTTAGTGGACTTTAAAGAGTATATATTGATGTTCCTATTGATCCATTGCCAATCTATTCCACTTTCACCATCCTGCCACCGTTCAGAGTCATTGGGAAAACTTTACCACTTTATATGTTTCAGATGATTTTACTCATTGATGGTTAATCGCGATACTTGAACTCCGATAAGCTTGCTAAGTTATTATTCTTCTTTACCAATAGACTGAATATGAAACCAGTTCACATTCGAATATATTTGGGTATATTATTTCTGAAGTCTACTACGAACGAGTCAAACTACTCTCTGGTGTTTAGGCGGCATTGATTCAGTTACCGAAGCTTGCAGACAAAATCAACGTAGATCCTTGCACACAAGTTCATGGAATCAAGTTGTCATACTTCACTGTAGTGTACAAATAACAAGTGAATAGAAAAAAGTGAAATCACAATCTACAAAGTTGTGTTGAGAGAATGGGCAATTTGAAGGTAAAGGCTAGTGCAAATATTCAACGTCAAGGAGTAAATACGTTGTGACCGATTTTCAGTCGTATCATCAAGAGTCTGCAGGCATTAATTCCAATGATTTCAAGGACCTTAACCAGGTAGTCTACACCACACCATACGGCTCAGAACAGCAGTCATAGAATTTATGAACTAGTATCACGTCTTAGTCTGGCTACTCTGAGCTTTCTTTTAACCTAATCCAGCTTCTCATAGAATTGCATTTCAAAGTAGGTGGTGCCTTGGCATGCCCTATGTATGTCCAAGTAATCTTAGTCGCTGAATTTTCAAAACCTCATCGATCGACTCGCTTGTTTTCTTTAATACCTTTCGTCCAACCTCAGTATTACTCGCATAATGATTCCGCCTTGCAGGAGAAATGTTGCGAAGGCAACTGATCAAAACGTGTAACCGCTTCATATCTTCTACATTTATTTCTGACAGCCATATAACGGGAGACAACAAACCATAGTGTAGTATACTTGACCTTTGATAGCTGGTTGGATATCTCGCCAGTCGGCACCACAAGTAAAGCAAGTTGACAAATGTCAAATGGGGCTTCTGTATCTTAGTTGAAATTTCATGAGTAATCAGCCCGTTCAGGCTGGTGCAACTCCCCAAATAAGTGAAATGGCCATCGCATTGTACCACTTCATTACCTCTTCTTAAACTGGGAGTCGTTGCAGACCAGTTTTGAAGTGTCATCTTACGTATGACAGATTAAAAAGCGCTTTTCAAACATACTGAGATTTCTACTCAAGGTGCTCAGAAGACCCTGCATATTGTTAGCGTCTTCGCCTAACACGACAACAGTCTGCATACTGCAAGCTAATCAGATGATCTCCAGGGAATAGGTTAATCCCTGTGAAGTCAGACATACCTGAGGTTATGTCCACTAGTATGTCTATAACGAAGTTAAATAGTAGTGGTAGAGAGCACTTGTTGTCGTCGATTCTGAAGATAACTTTTCATAGACCTATGTATGGTCGTGTCAGTTCAAGTAGAGAGCTTTGGTAAGCGTTATATACTTGTTTTGTACTCCGTTTTTAGTCAGACACTGCCACAACACCTCATAGTCCACTGAGTCAAATACCACCTCCAGGTCAAGAAATATGGCAAGTGTCGTCGCTGGTAGTTATGTCTGTTGGAAGGTGAAGATATCGACTCACCCTGGTCTGGAACCTGCCTTGTTTTCTCGAGTTTGGTGTTCTCAAGCTCCAGTTATACCTCGGATACCTATGAAGCATAGTATCTTGGACACAATGTTAGTCAATCTAATTCCCCTACTGTTTTCACAAGAAGACATCTCCCTTCTTATAGACTTGGATGATAGACCAGTGTGATGGGGCTGCCTGTTAGTACTGCACACTGCTTAGTACCTGCGTCAATTTAGTTACAAATTTCCTACCCCCATCCTTAAAATCTTGGGATAGTAAAATGTCAAGTCCTGCTGCTTTGCATCGTTTCAGGTTCGACACAGCTTTCTGAACTTCAAGGAGAGTTGGAGGACTAATATCTACTTCCCACTCAGGTTCTTGGTGGATGTTGGGCAATTGAAGCGTTGCTATGGACTAATCGAACTGGGCTTGAAAGAGTTCCGTATGGCGTTCTAGCCGTCTGTTCTGGGAGGTTATCAGGTTTTTATCGCTTGCGGTGATGGTTTCACTAACCATTGTCTTCTTCTTGCCGGTATCCTTAATGGGCCTAAATAGTTGCGGGTTTTACCCAACACTGGTCGCCTCTCCATCTCTCTTGCTTACACTACCCAGAACTGCTTGCAATCATTGCAAAGACTCTTGGTCGGTGCATGCTTAAGTTGTTTTCACTCTTCATCGTTATCAGAGATAGCTTAAATCAGT